GAGGCTAGGTTTGTTTTGGTGTAAGTAACAAAAGCTTTTGTTGCTGTTTCATAAATTGCTTCCCGCTTATATAGTAAAATTGTGCAGGAACGACTGAAGGAATTATTGATAGCTGTATCATTTTATGATAACACTAAACAAAATTTGTACATAAGAAAAATTATTTGCCTTCAACAGGCATTTAGGTGTACCTTAAATAATATTACGAGGAATAGTCAAAAAGTATTTGCATCGCTTATTCTTCTTTTCTTTTGTTAAATCTGCATTCTTATAATAAGAAAATTATAACATTAAATAACAGAAAATCCACAAATAATACCGTAGCATTCAACATTGAAACGTAGCAAAACGTTTTCGTACTCACTTTTATTTATTTCTTGCAAAATAAGTTTTTGAAAATTGGAAGGACCCATAGAACACGTAAATAAAATTACTAATTTCTAATTATATGGGGAATTACGACTTTATTATTAATTTTCTGGTTTTGTTTAATAATGACTGTCTTTAATTGAATATTCGCATTAAATATTGCGTAATTTTGTTAATCTTGTATATGTAACTGTCCAATAAAGATGGATTTTGATTTAATTCCTTTTATTGGTTCAGCCTTAATAATCCAATTTTGCACTGCATAGCAAATTTTTTTTTTATTACAACACTTAATAATAAAGATACTGAATTTATTGTATTCGAGCGTATGATGTGAAATACTTAAACATAAAATGAGTTCCAATCCCGAGAACACTAAAAATGTTTTTGTGATGGGATGATCAAAATCATTTAAAATACTTTTTATTATCGTAAACAAATAATTTGTGCTTCATGACAAAATTTTCAATAAATGTTTTTATGTCTGATAAATATTTCGGTTTTTATTTTTAGACAAGAATAGGTCGATATATCGTAAAAAAATATCGGCCAAACGCCACGTCTGATGAAATAAAGAGTGGAAAAAATATAACATTTCGCGAATTCGCGCAATATTTAATAAGAGAAGGTGTCACAAATGAATTGGCAAATGAGCACTGGATGCCAGTTAATGATCTTTGTCAACCCTGTCTTATAAATTATACTTTTATTGGTAAATATGAATGGTTTGAAGAGGACACTAGAACTGTTCTCGACATGGTTGGTGCTCCTTACATTGATTTTCCCGTTTCTAAACCTAATTACACTCGTGACAAGTTAAGGTTTTATTTTCAACAACTTTCTCTGTCTGAAATCGAAGATTTGTACAATTTGTATAAGCTTGATTTTAAACTTTTTGGATATGACTTGAATCCTATTTTAGGATTCGAGATTGGATGAGTTATCTTAAAATTTAATTGTCTTCTTAACCCAGGTCACCCATTGGGTTGAGTATGAGTAATGATTTATGGTGCTACTAATTTAAATAATTAACCATTGAAGTACAAATTTTTAACTAGTGGCAGTGTATTTTTTTTATGTTGCACTAGTTCATAACAAAATTTTTCAACCTTTTTAAATCAAATTTTAGTATGTTTATTAAAGCCATATTAAATCTAGTTAAAAAATAGTGTGTAAGTTAGTTTTAGCAAATTTTTTATTTTTTTACCATCATTACGTATATTTGAACTATATCTGCAAATAAATTATTGTTCTAAACCATATATTATTTTATTTTGTTTTTAATCCATTTTTTACTAAACGAAACATTGGTTCTATTTCTGGGGCGCCTGCCTTGATCCAAGATTTTTTGTGGTTTTGTTGGATTATTTAGACAGGTTAATAATGGACAGTAACATTAGTCATTCACTTCTATAAAGTATATTCCTAAATCTAAAACAATTTTTATTTAATAATTAACATATCTTACGTTACATAGGTAAATGTAATTTGTTTAAATTGCAGGTTCATTTCTTGATAATCTGTGGCTGATAATCAAGTTTTGCTACTTTGGCGAATGACTCAGCATATAAATCCAATCGACGAGTCGTCTTAAAAGAAAAGAGTAATTCAATTTATTAACATAAAGATTTTTAGAGTTATNGATTATACTTAAAGTAGGTCGTTGATACTACATTTTAATGAGAAAATGTTAAAAAATCAATTTCCACAGTTTCCACAGCTTATTGTGTTCTGCCTTTTTTATGCGCCCAACAAACTTTCAAATTTCAGGGTCTGTCAAAGATTAACAGTAGTGTATTGGTTGTAAACTGTAATTTGAACACTTGCAGACAAATAAAAAAATTACTGCGAATTTCAGGTGCTTCATTTCATTATTTTTTTATTTCATTAAACATCGCTGTAATAATTATATAAACAATAATCTCTTGTATGTTATAGTATTATAAACACGAATATAAATAAATATTAATTTGTAGATTTTGTAATGTACGTCTAAGTCTCTTTATGATAACAATAACGACACTGATTAACCTTAACGACCTTAGATCTTACATATTTATATTTTTCAGGAACTTTATTTATATATTCCGTGTACTCATTTACATATTAAGGTACATATTGAATTACATATGAATTTTTATACAGGGGTTGTTCACAGAAGACATTAATGACGTAATACTACAATTATTGGCGTAGTTACAAACGAATGACTTTCCCCCTTTCACATTTCAAAAATCTATTTCCCAAGAAATAAATCTACTTTCTTGTAAGAAGGCAGTTTTAACAAAACAAATAGGCAATACTTTTTGACTGTTTCTCGTATATAACTTAAGGCTGTTAATTGTTAAGGCAAATAATTTTTCA